ACTTACTTGAATGAAGTTCTGTGAGTTTGCATGGGCTTGACATGCATCATCTGATATTTTGGCAACACCCCTATAAAGAAGAAACTATCATTACTCCCTTTAGGAAGGTAGAAAGCATTTACATCACTGACCTGAAGTATCAGAGCAAGTATCCAGAGTTACTAGGACTTGAACCCAGGACAAGCTGATGCCAAAGTTAGGGCTCTTAACCACAACCAGCCTCTCTGGAGATAAACAAATGGCTCTGAGCAATAAAGAGATCAGCTTACTGATTAGCTTGGGAAATCATTCAAGATCATTCAACAGACAAATTCTTCTACAACTTCCCTTAGAGCGTGGTACATAGAGCTGCCTGCATGGCTGGCTTTCTCTGTCCATGGTATGTTATTAAAAGTGGCAGGTGTCCCCCTGGCAGTCACATAGGCATCATGTTACACTCCATTCTCAGCTCTTAGGGGAAGATTGTCTCTTTGAATTCCCTTGCCCCATCTGGGCACCCCCAGGTGAATTCTGCATATGCCACCCAGTCATTATTTTAAATCAGACTATAATCATATTCATGCTTCAAATGTGGGACATTTTACATGATGTGGTAACAGACATTTAACTTTATTATTTTTACCAATTAAATATGAGAGATAAGGAAGAAAGGGAATTTAAAATTACCAGAAGGCACTTGAAACTTCAAGGGCAATGGTAATGGTATAATGAAGAATCACAACAACGACAACAATTTTGAAGAAGCACTTTAAAGTTGAGCAAACTACTAGTTTGAAGAGAAAGATGGTGAGTTTGCCTTTCAGAGTTCTTAATTGGAGTTGACAGTGGAACACCCACGTAGAAACGTCCTGTAGCCAGCTGGAGCTGACTGGAGCTCAGGAGAGAGGGAGAGGATAGAAATATAAGTCAAGATTCATCAGCCCAGTGATATGAGAGTTGAAGCTCTAAGCTGTGACAAGTTCTTTTTGGAAAATTGAGCAAGTAGGAGAGAGCCAACCTGAAACTTGAGTCGATACTCAGGAAATACTTTCTGATTTTTTATGTCTTTGAGTCCAACAAATAAACCCTAATCAAAAACCACTGAGTGTGATGATGAGGAAGATTTTGCAATAATTTTATAGGAAGAGTGGGGAACAAAGCCAAATTTCAGGATGCTATGGAAGGGAATAATTATGTAAGAATTTGAGGCAGTGCCTGAGGACCACTTAGTTAGCTGGAGCTCCCATAGTTCACTCTTTGTGCCTCTCATGCAATTTCTTTTATCACATTATATTTTAGCTTGCTGTTTCAATTAGTCATATATTTGTTTTAAGATTCTGAATTCTCTGAGGGCAAGCCTGTGTCTTATTCATCATTTTTGCCCATATAATGCCTAATGTCATGACTTGCAAAAATAAATGTTCAATGTTAGTTCCAGCTACTCAGGAGGCTGAGGTGGGAGGACCTCTTGAGCCCAGAGGTTAGAGGCTGCAGTGAGCTATGACTGCACCATTGCTCTCCAGCCTAACCAACAGAGCGAGGCACTGTCTTAAAAAAATAATAATAAAATAAAATGTAAAAAAAGCTCAATGAAAGTTCTAAAGCTCACTTCTCTGTTCAAGATTGGTTCCAGATTGCCTCTGACAGTGTTTTCTAAATTTTGAGGTTTCTTACTGTGGAGTGGGAGATGAACTTGGTGGTACATGGGAAAATTGCATTTATTCTAAAAATAAGACGTTTAAAGGATGGATGTACCAAAGCCAGACTGCATATTACATAGAGATGATAGACTCCAGATATGTATTCATTTTTTACAAGGATGATGAATTTCTATTTATGACTTTGGAACAAAGTTTAAAATATTTAAAATAATTGTGTTTAAGTTTTTAAGAAGTGAGTTAATAAAAACATATTTAAAATAAGTAAATTTTAGTGTCGGAGACAGACACACTTGGAAAAGATCTTAGAGCTGATTGGGAGACAACTGAAGTTTGGGTTGATGGCCTTATGCAGTACATCCTATTCTGGTTCCACCGTACCTTGCCCCCTTTTTCTCTCGTATGACTCCATGAGTTTTACTCTTGTCTCTCCAGTCGTCATAGCCATAAAATCAGAAGCTTAATGTGCTTGGTTATATTTGTCACAACATACATTAAAACAATCAGAAAGCTATAAAGGTAAACACATGTGCATCTATGGACTACCTAAAATTATTTCCCAACCTATTTTGGGAACATGGCCATTTGGAAATTTATCTGGTCTCCATCTCTCATCTGGGGAATTCTTAACACCAGGCACTGTGGAGGATTCATAGCAGCATCTCTGGCAATAAAATAGTGCCAGGCATAGAGTGGGCATCATTAAGTGTTTGTTCAGAAATGAAAGGACAGTGAGATGCCAACCATAACATTTAATTGCCGAGGCACTGGTGTGTCAGAGCCACACTCAGTACAGTTCAAAGATGATGGATTGCAGGGTTTCCCTGCATATGGTTTGCGGTGGAAACACACCACAGAGCTGAGCATTACCCACAGTGGAGTTATCCCCCGATGGGGATTCCGCCTAATGAGTTTGGGGGGCAAGCGGAGTTCTTCCAAGCAGAAAGTAAGCAAGTGAAATCTCTCTCTCACTTACTTCTCTCTCTGTGGCCGATGCCATCTGCTAGTTTTAAAAATAATTTTTAAAAGCAAGTGTTTTGGTTCTCTTCGATGTGCAGCAAAGACAGATGCTATTTTTAGGCTTGTTTTCTATCCAAAAAAAAAAAAAAAAAAACCCCAAAGAACCAGGGGCTGGATGTCCGTAGTCCTTGCTCACTGACTATATGCCACCAACAACTTATATGTGACCTTTTTGCAAATTTCATATGTCTGGGACCCTCAGAACAGAAGGGATCATTCCACCTCCCTTTCTGCCCCTCATTAGGGATGTTGAAAGGGTGAAATAGTATTGATCTGAGAAAGAAAACCCATTTCAAAAAAAATTGCTTAACTTGTGCTCTTCCCCTGTAACCTGCTGGCTTCTGTTTTGATGTATGGCTAAGATCTCTGTGTTCCTTCTTTTTCCTCCTGGACTGGATACTCTTTGTGGGGAGGACACAGCCACACATTCATGCAGTGTCTACTCAGAGTCTTTCATGCAAGACGTACTCACTGGAGGTAGCATAATGAGGGGTCATGAGTATAGACTCTGGAACCAAACTGCTGGCATTCAGATCCTGGCCTGCGACTTATCCACTGAGTGACCACTGGCAAGTTACTTACCCTTTGTGAGCTTCAACCTTCCTGTCTTTAGAAGGAGAAGAATGATAATACTTATCATGTTGGCTTGTTTACAGGGGACAAGGGAGACAAAATATATAAAGCATTCGACTCAGTCACATAGTACCTAAAAGATGGTAGCTTAATTTCATTATTGTTGTTGTAATTATAAGGCACCCGATAACACACCTGACACATGTATGCTTGACTGCTACATGTAAGATTAAATTTCATGCACTATATGGAAGATTTTTCAAATGGTGAATTAAACATTTGTCATATGGTCAACACCATGTTAGATACACTATATATGCCGTCTTGTTTTCAGCTTTCTGGAACAGGTGAAGATTGTCCACTTTACAGGTGAAGAGAAAGCTGGGGATGAGAGAGGTTAAGTGTCTGTTTAGCATTACAGTTAGTAAGCAGTGGAACGAGACTTCAAGTACTATATTGACTTTAAAATGTTCACCCTACACCTCACTTTCCCAACACCCATTCTCCTGGCTTTACAGCCCCTCATGAAAGCTTTGCAACTTTTGACCGCAAACTACTTTTTTACACTGTGACTCGGCCATACCAACATATAAATATAACCAAAGCATACATTTTGCAGCATAATACTCAGTGGTGCTCTGTGCAGTGTGCTCTGATAATTTCCACTTTATTTGTTTGTTCTCTCTTTTTTTAAAGAGTTGATCATGACCCACCAAATTGATTTAATGATCAGTTAACATGAGATACAACTTAAGTTTGAAAAACACTGACCTGGCTTAAATGACCAGACAGTGCCACCAGGACATCACATTTCCATCACAATTACAGTTCACAGCCCTGTGTATGTTTTATTTGAGACCCTTAGTCATTCTGTTAGAAATGGTTGATTATATTATCCTCATTTTATAAATGAAGGTATCAAGGCTCAGAGATAGAAATCAATCTTCCCAAGCCCATCTAGCTAGAAAATGTGGAACAAGGTCTTCAGTTCTGCACATACAGTGCTTTGGAGACCTATTAATTCCTGCTGCCTCTAGGGTCACCCATTCATTCACTTAATTAATGTGCATCGGTGGTTTGCTTTGGCCAGGCATGGTGCTGGGTTCTTGGTACACAGTGATAAACAAATTTAACATAGTTCCTGGCTTTGTGGAACTTTCAGTCATATCTGGTGTTAGTTTCTTTCAGAGTGAAAACCAAAGCCTTTATTTATTTATTTATTTATTTATTTTTGAGTTGGAGTCTCACTCTGTCGCCCAGACTGGAGTGCAATGGCTGCTCCCGGCCACCGCAGCCTCAACCTGCTGAGCTCCAGCGATCCTTCCGCCTCAGCCTTCCAAGTAGCTGGAACTACAGGCGCGCGCTACCACGCCTGGCTAATTTTTTGATTTATTGTAGAGATGAGGTCTCACCAAGTTGCCCAGGCGGGTTTCGAACCCTTGGGCTCAGGCAGTCCACTCACCTCAGCCTCACAAGGCATAATCTTACATAAGACATTTATGTTTAATCGTGCATTAACCTACTATTTTCCAGTCCAAACAAATATAAACTTGTAATTAATAATAAAAAAAATTCACATGTCACCTATCCTCGCTTGCATACTTCCAATAGTACAGATGTTACACTTGGGGAAACACTGAACTCTGTAAATAGGGATCTGTTGGAGGGTCCTGGTGGGTTTTAATCAGAAATTCCAGCTATTCCCTGCTCTCTGTTTGGATCCTGAGAAACTGCAGGATGCTGAGTTTGCTGTTTGCTCTCCCCTTCCAGGACCGCCTGTACTTTGTGATGGAGTATGTGAATGGTGGTGACCTTATGTATCACATCCAGCAAGTTGGCCGGTTTAAGGAACCTCATGCTGTGTAAGTAAGAACTTGTGCTGTGCCCTTTCCTTGGGATAAATGGATGGGCTGCTAGAACTTTAGGGTTTTTTGCCAAAGTGGGATTTTTCAACATTTAGACCATCTTTGTAAGAAATATTTGGTCAGTGGATAAAGGTGTTCTGTTTGGTATAGGATGCTTCTCTTTTTCCTGATACCAGCTAAGAAACTGAAGCTCAGCTGGGTGTGGTAGCCCATGTCTGTAATCCCAATGTTTTGGGAGGCCAAGGCGAGAGGATTGCTTGAGTTTAGGAGCTTGAGACCAGCCTGGGCAACATAGCAAGACCTGGTCTCCACAAAAAAATTTAAAAATCGGTTGGGTGTGGTGGCGCCCAGAGGCTTAGGCAGGAGTATCAATTGAGCCCAGGAGTTCAAGGCCACAGTGAGCTATGATTGCTCTACCATACTCCAACCTGGGTGATACAGCGAGACCCTGTCTCAAAACAAAACAAAACAAAACTCGAAGCCCTAAAACCACAGCTGTTAATTTATCTCTAATTCTTGCCCTGACTCCTAAGAGAGACCCTATAGCTTCCTTGGGGAATGCCATTGTAGGTTTTGTTTGTTCATTTGCTAATATTTATTGAGAGCTTACTATGGGCCAGGGCCTAAGTGCTTAACAAACATAGTTTCATTTAATTCTGAGAACAACTCTGGGAAGTTAGGTATTATCACCTGGGCTTTACGAACAAGGAACCTGAGACTCAGAGTTTTAGAAGGTTGTTCACGATCGCGGAGCTAGTATGAGGCTGATCTAGAATTCTGATCCAAATGTGTCTTGTCCATGTTCTCTGTCTTACACCACTCTCCCTCTTAGATGCCTTCACTCCAAGGAGGTGAAGGATCGAGTTGGATCCTGGCAATGGTCTGTGGTTCCTGAGATGGGGAGACTGATTCTGGGTTTTGGGAAAAGTATTTCCCCTACTAGTCCATCTCATCTCCTTCAGTTCACAAGGCAACCAGTATCTCTTCTTTTTAGAACACAGATCTCATTGTGTTACTCCCCAGTTTAGAAGCCTGTTGGAGAAAGGGACATGGGCAAGTTAGAGCGATGACAGCGTCTCCTAGGGAGTTTGCTAAGATCTTATCGCCTCTCTAGGGAGCACTCAGAGTTTGTCTAAGATCTTACCCTTTCATACTGGAGGCCCAGAGGTTCTCTGGGTCCTTCTTGTTCTGCTTGCCCCCTCTCCTCTCACTGTGCTCTGGTAGGGTTTGCATTATTCGTGCTTTCAAATCAAGCCATTTGTATCTTGTGGCACAATTTTAATAGGATTGCTCCTTCTTTTACTTGTAACATCTAATTGACCACAGACTTTAATTACACGGTCATGCAAGACATATTGTAAGGACACTTCATAGTTCCACAAAGCCCTGCCCAACACTGGTGGTATAACTGGGTTTTTTGGTTCTCTCAAAATCTTCTTCCTTCTGGGGGAAGGGGTCTTCATTAAGGGGTTACATTTTAGACAGATGCTGTTTCCAGTTATAACTTGCTCACGTTATTTCATCTGTCTACGACTCAGTTTCCTCATTTGAGGATCCGGGAGGTAATAGTAGGACCTATCTCATAAGATTATTAACAGGATTAAATCAGATAGCGCCTAAAACAATGCTAAGTAGATGGTAACCCTTCAACAGATTTTAGCTGTTATTGTTAAGATATTTTAGCGTGCTATATTGTCTGAAACTCTACCCAGTCCATTACATCCCATGGTCCCCTCCCTGCTACACAACTGCTGACCCTCTGTCCACCTAGATTTGTCCTTAAGGCAGCCCCATCACTCCCTAAACCGCCATGCTAATCCATCCATACTCTCAGCATCTTATGAGCTGTGTAGTTGGCCATCCATGGTGGGACTTAAACGCCCTGTGCCTAGTTCAATATTGTATTGAATTCTGAGCATTGCTAAGCATATGGTGCCCTTGAATTTCTCCATCACTTCTCTTTTTTTTTTTAATTTCAGATTTTACGCTGCAGAAATTGCCATCGGTCTGTTCTTCTTACAGAGCAAGGGCATCATTTACCGGTAAGTGAACACTGCTGTGCTTCCATCTCCTCATCTCCTTCAGCTCCTCCCTTCCCTGCCTCTTTCTTCAACTGCTTTTAAAATTAGAATCCTTGGTGGGGGAGGAATCCTCAGCACTAACTTGGGCATGTGTTCTGCCAGGCAGCATCGCCCACTGCCCTGGCAAAGTTTGGGCAGCTCTATATGGTGATAGAAAATCTCGATGGACTGTGTCACCAGTGATGGCTCAGAGACTCAAGCATAAGACCATTTGCTCTAAGAGGAGGAGGCTTACTGAGGGGCCCCCAGTACTTCTTTCTTTTGCCTGAAGACCCCACATTTGGGAACAAGCAAAGAATCTTGTCTGGCAGAATGTGATGGATCATATTATTACGAAACATTTTTTTTTTTTGCTATGTAACTACAACTTGGAAATGGATCTCTGAAAAGCTGCCCTGAACGACAGGATTAAGTTCAGGACTTGGCATTTTCTGGTTTTGGAGCAGCAAGTGGATGATCATAGCTGTATGAATCATACCATTTTATATTTCATGCAAGGCAGACTGTTGAGCCCGAGGCTGCTATTTGTCAGTGAGTCTGGGGCGTACAATTCTCCTTGCACTACATGGATGCAAATGGCAGAGTCAGTGCAGGCTTGGGCTGGTTGGTTATGCAAGAGAGGCTGTAGGGGCATGGGGCTTCCAAACAGTACTTGGCTCTGGTGAGGGTCTGTTTCAAAGATCAGAAGACCCGCTGAAGTCCATCTCATTAATTTGTTTGACAAATATTTGTCAAAAGCCTCTACTATGTTCTTGGCAGTGTTTTGGGTAGTGAACACATAGCAGTGAATAAAACAGACAAAACCATTTGCCCTTGTGAAGTTATCTTCTAGTGCTGGAGACAGATAAGTAAATCATAAAAATATAGTCTGTCAAGTAGTGATAAGGGCTATGGAGAAAAATCAAGTGGGACAGGAGACTGATGTGTACTGTGTGGTGGAAGTTTGTCTCTCATTCTGTAGAAAGCATGGTTATTAGGGTCTGGAAAGTTAGAGGTGACTTGGGAGTCCTGGGTCTTTTATTGCAACTGAAGGACATGATGAGATTAGCCCTGGTGGTTTCAAGACAGATTGCAGAAGCGAGGCTGTGCGTACTGGTGGGATGTAAGGAGAGGAGATGGGGTCTTGCAATGTCTTGGGCTTTAATTTACCCCTTAAAGTGGTGGCATGAAATCTAGTTGGGAAGGAGTAATCTTATCCTGAGTTCACAGAATCCTACCATCCCTGTCTTCTTCTGATGGCAGAGGGATGAAAGTCAGGGAGAGGAATGGTTTTATCTGGCACACGAGTAATCCTAATGAAGGTACAGAAATGGAGAGAAGGAGAAGAATTTAAATTTTAAGGAGCGTAGTCATTCTGCCCCTGCTTGCCCTCAGTGAACACAGATCACTGTGTGAGTCTGGGATGGAACACGGGAAACTTCTAAGTCTCTCAGTTTCCCTTTTAACTCATAGTAAGAGCAGTGTGTGTGTGTGTGTGTGTGTGTGTGTGTGTGTGTGTGTGTGTGTGTGTGTGTACACAATGTAATTCTGGTGTTGAAAAGTGCACATTATCTTCCATATGACGTGACCCCCAAATTCAAGCCAGTGACTTCAACTGGTGCTTAACCAAAGAAGCTGGGCTCGTGGGTCATTTTCCACTCTGTGGGATTTTCACCTTATGTGCTGACTTTGGGAGCTGTGCAGGATGTGCCACCACTAGAACAGAACCAGTCAAGTTTTTGGAAAGATTAAATGTGGAACTACAAGTTAATTAGAAGAAAATCCAGTTCCAGGGAGGAAACAGGAGAGGATATAGAGTTCTGGAAACTGGATTGGATTCAGTGCTTGGTTCTACACTAGCAGGGAACTGCATTGGGATCTGGGATCCAGGGATCCAGGTCACTAACCAGGCAGGTAATAAAACCCAGAGATGAGTATTTCAAGTGCTAAGTTGATACCAACTCTGAAGCTCTTTCTCCTAACTATTCACACATTCTGCTGTTCATCCTCCACTATTAACATGGTTTTAAAGGAATATTTATGAAATCTTTTAAGCCAGTCAGCACCTGACTTCTTTCCCTTTGTGTGTAAAGACAGAGTCCGTCTCCTACTATAAAGATAGAAAATGCCAGCTACCCACTTTCACAGCCTCCCTGTAGCAAGGGCAGGCACATGACCTAAGCTCAGTTATACTAACACAAGGCCTTGACTCAGAAACTAGTGACCAAGGAAGCAGAGACCATAGGATCAAGAGTGGCCATAGTAATCAGCTACAGCTAGTTTCCAGAAGCGAGAGAAATGGTTCTTTGTTTTGTTTGTTTGTTTGTTTGTTTGTTTTGAGTTGGAATCTCACTCTGTTGCCCAGACTGGAGTGCAGTGGCACACTCCCAGCCACCACAGCCTCAACCTGCTGGGCTTTGGCAATCCTTCCACCTCAGCCTTACAAGTAGCCGGAACTACAGGCACACGCTACCACGCCCGGCTAGTTTTTGATTTATTGTAGAGATGAGGTCTCGTCAAGTTGCCTGGGCGGGTCTCTCGGCCTCCCAAAGTGCTGGGATTACAGGTTGAGCCACCGAACCCGGCCGAGAAGTGGTTCTTAACAGCAAGAGGAAGAATCGATCACTCAGGTTTCACAGATCAAGGGCGATGTCTGAATCCATGGAGGTCTGGGTGGTGTTTTCCCTGGACCAGCTCTGTGTTGCAATTAGACATTTTTTCTGGCCGTGTAGACTCCTAACCTTGTTCTTCAGCCTACTCGGAAGTTCTCTGAGCTCCCCAGCATCCTTTTATAAATTCCTTTTCAGATTAACTGTAAGAAGTGGTTTTCATTGCTCACCATCAAGAACCTTGATTGAGATAGAGTTTTTTGAAATTAATACGTTTTGAAATGAAAACTATTTAAAAAATGACAAAGACTTATGACTTTATAACTTCTTAGAGAGTGGCTTCATGGTGGTAAAGTCTTTTAAAATGTTACAAATCACTCCCTCTTTCATTTAGATCTCTAGTTACTTGAATAGTTCTTAGGTAAACAGGATGAGGAATTATGTTAGACTTACCTGCTTTAAGGAACATGGCTGGAGATGTTGAGTGGGGGAAGACAAAGATTCTTCTTGTCAAACTTAGTGTCTGATTTATTGATCACCATCTCTGGAGTATGTGTTGATTTTACCCTTGATGGATATCTGAAAAGGAAAACAATTGTTCTCGTTCCATTTTGAAGCAGAAATGAGGATTTATTACATAGAACAAAAGATTGCAGTAGAATATCAAAACACTGCTCTGTGTCAGTGAATATGACGGGGATGGACTCCAGTCCCAAGACCTGCTGGCTCTTGGCACCTGAAACTCCTTTTCTATAACAGATGAAGATTTTATCACCTTCCTAGGTGACCCAGCTGCCTGTTTCTGGGCATGTGATCAAGTTGCAGGGATGTTGTATGTCTCTATTAATGAAATCATATGTAGGCTGACTTAGTATGTTTAGGTGAAGTAAGTTGCTGCAAAGTCCAGTTTTTCTAGATTCCAACATAGCACTCAGAGACCAATCTGCCTTGTAAATAATCATGACGACTGGATATGAATAGTGCCATGGACAGTGCCAAAGACAGTGGATGTTGCTATTGATAAACAGTAGGTACAAGTGAGTCTCCCCTTGCATGAAGAGACCTCACAGACAGACATGCAATGCCAGGATGTAGTTTCAGGTTGTATTCTTATAGCTGAAAATGATGGCAGAAATTCAATTCAAAATAACTTAAGTTTAAAAAGGCATTTATTGACTGACATAACTTAAAAATCCAGGGGCAGATCTAACTTTAGATCTGGATAAATGCAGGGGCTCAAATGATGTGGTGAGAGTTCACTTTATTATCATCTCTCTAGGTCCTGCTTTCTCTGTATTAGCTTTCTTCTCTCTAGCTGGTGATTCCTTGAGCTTCACATTCATATTCTATCACTTAAACAATCCCAATGTAAAAGGTACTATCTCTTTCCTAATGATATCAGCCAAAATGCCAGGGCTGATACTTAGCAGCTTTGGTCCAGATTGCTTCATGACTAGATTATGTCCTAGGAAGTGGTCCAGAAGAGCTTGGAGCACTTGAAGTTAAGTTCTTTTTTATATATATTTGCTTATTTTTAAATTTAAATTTATTTTAAAGATGTGGAGTATAATTGTAGGTATACAAATGTTCAATAAGTTGTTCTTAATCAGGTTGCTTCTTGTGATCTTCAGAGATATTTTTAAAATAAGAATTTTGAGAAAAATACATCTTCTTACAAAATATAAGAGGTCCTGAAGTTGCAGAGAGCAACTCTTGGAATTCTCTTGGGTCTAAGAGACCTCTTTGGATGCTCTACCCTCTGTTTAACTTTTTGTGCCTCTCCCTCTTCTCAGAGTTGCTGTCTCTTTGTATCCTCGTGAGACGCTTGGCACAGTTGGCTCTATAGGAAAAGAAAAACACAGAGGTTGGCGGACCCCTTTTTGTCTCTCTGCCAGATTGTAAGCTATTAGAGAGCAAGGACTGGTTTAGACTCATCCTTGCATCCCCACAACACCAAGCACTGTGTTTTATGGATAATAAGTGGTTATTGGTTGACTTAAAAATAAATAACATTTTATTACATCTCTAAATTCTTCTGTCTGCCACAGTGACCTAAAACTTGACAATGTGATGCTGGATTCTGAGGGGCACATCAAGATTGCTGATTTTGGCATGTGTAAGGAAAACATCTGGGATGGGGTGACAACCAAGACATTCTGTGGCACTCCAGACTACATCGCCCCTGAGGTGAGAGCTGCCGGGACTCCTCACACACATCCATGTCATGGTGATGTCCCCTCTGCTCCCCGGATGGCCGTGTGAGAGCTGGAAAGAGTGGAGGGTGGTACCTTGCGGGAGAACCTTGGGCTGATCCTTATCCTATACTCTAAATTCTTCCTTTGAGATCACACATGCAAATTAATTTAGCACACATCCAGAAGCTCAGGCCCAAAATACTTCAAGGTTTGGGAAAAAACTTAAATAAAACTCAAAAGAACCATCCAACACACATCAGTAAAATTCTTCATCAAGATGCTATGGCTCGTGGCCATATGATACCTCCTAATTATGACATTGAAACGTTTGTTGAGAAAGAGAGAAAAAGAGAGAGAGTAGATCCATTGGGCAAGTAGACGACACAGGATCTGTGTACTACAATGTGTCCCTCAACAGGAAAATGGGCAATAGCCTCTGGTTTTTCTGTGTGTGTGTTTTTTTATAGCATGAAATACTACTAGGCATCAATTTAGAAGAGTGAGTTCTGGAGAGATTTTTAAGACATATTGTCAAGAGAAAAAAGTCAAGGTACAGAATGATACATATAATATGCTACTATTTATGGACAATAACCACAATACACAGGACAATACATACATGGATATATGCGTGTAAAAGCATACACAATCTGGAAGATTTCAGACTACTTTTATAACATTGGTTATCTCTGAGGATAAGAGCATGGCAAAGGGAAATATTTAGCCCCTTCTGTATACTATTAACATAGTTTACAAGGTAAATGTAATGTATGTATATGTTACTTGAGTAATAAGAAAGTAATCCTTTTGTTTGTTTGTTTGTTTATGTATTTTATTTATTTTGAGTTGGAGTCTCACTCTGTTGCCCAGGCTGGAGTGCAGTGGTATACTCCTGGCCACCCAAGCCTCAACCTGCTGGGCTTAGGTGATCCTTCTGCCTCAGCCTTCCAAGTAGCTGGAAGTGCAGGCGTGCGCTACCATGCCTGTCTTATTTTTTGATTTATTGTAGAGATAAGGTCTCACCAAGTTACCCAGGCTGGTCTCGAACCCCCAGGCTCAGGCAATCCTCTCGCTCGGTCTCCCAGAATGCTGGGATTATAGGCTGAGCCACCGTGCCTGGCCAAGAAAGTAATCCTTTTAAAAAACTATTTTATTAGGGCCCAGGGTAGTTTTCCCTATGTGGCATACTTTGATCTACTGTCATTTTGTTAAGGATATCGGACACAACCTATAACACAACTTCCTAATAGGCCTTAAGTTCTGTGATCTCTGGTTCTGAACTCAAGTTGCACTTTAGAATCATGAGGGAGTTTTTGGAATGTAGGATACCCGGGTGTCACCCCAGATCCATTGATTAAGACTCTCTGCAGGGCCAGACCCAGGGTCTGTGGTTTTCAGAAGTTCTTCATGGGTCATGATGCAGTTAAGCACAAGAAGCCCTGAACTGTGTTGCTGATGGAGTTGTCCCTCCCCTAGCCCTCCCGGAGGAATAAACTACTGAGAAGGCTTTGTCATGAACCAACCACATCACCTCTGGCAATTTCTCTCATCTCCCCAGGCTCTGTTTTCCTTTGTAAAAGGATTAACTTGTTGAGTTGTCAGGAGGATCAAATAAGCCTTGAAGTACGTTAAAAGTGCGCCAGTCTGCGCCACCCAGAGAAGCATACTTTGTGAGAACCAATAGAAAGGAGCCCGAGCTTCTGAAACCTATTCCCTATGAATTCATGGCTTAATAGGTGTCAAAAATAAAAGATCTCTGGATCATTAAAAAAAAAGTGTGAGAACACTTCCAATGAGAATTGTTCTCCCGGAAAACTTTCCCTTCCTTGTCTTTCAGTTACTTCTTTGCATAGTGCATTTCATTCCGTTCATTCATTTATAACTGACAAATCAAATTGTATACATTTATCATGTACAGCATGTTGTTTTGAAATACGTGTACATTGTGGAATGGCTAAATCGAGCTAATTCACATGTGCATTACCTCACATATATTATTTTTTGTGGTGAGAACACGTAAAACCTTTCAGCAGTTTTCAAGAATGCAGCACACTGTAATGAACTCTAGTGACTATGTTGTATGATAGATCCCTTGAATGTACTCGTCCCACCTAAATGGGATTTTATATCCTTGGTCAACATCTCTGCATTTCTGATTTTGAAGTAGAGACCAAGGTCGGGAGATGGAGATCTGAAACAGACTTTAGCCAAGTTTGCTCAAACACCTTTATTGAGTAAAACAAGCAGTAACTAAATTAGAGAACATTCTAGTAATAGCTAACATCTTGAGGGCATAATATGTGAGAACCAGGTATTAATAGTATCTCATTCATTGCACAAAAATCCCTGGCATACATATTATGGCAAACTTCATTTTATAAATGATGAGACAGAAGCTTAAAGAAGTTAAGGAACTTCCCCCATGGGCACACAACAGGAAAATAGTAGTCAGGATTCAAAGTTGGACTCTCTGACCCTCGAGCCTCTGACTTTAAAAACAGATTATTATTCTTAATGGATGGAATTAGAGTTTATAATACTGAGTGATCTTTCACAGAAACAAAGGTCTGAGTACCACATGTTCTCACTCTTAAGTGGACCTTAAACAGCTACAGTAATACTATAAGAAAAGGATTAACAGTAGCAGGAAACTATGGCGGGGGGCAGAGAGGTGGAATTAACGGTAGTTGATATCTACCTGGGGAAGGGGGGGCACACCTCGTCAACAAGGGTACCTGCACAATGAATATTTGTATATCTAACTCTTAATTGTACCCCACAATTTTAAAAATTAAAAAAAGCAAAGAAGAAAAAAAACCCAACAGATTATATCTGTGTATAAAATATTAGCAAGGAAAATGTAAGTGAATAACATACCTTATTAAAGTTCCCCCATATTAAAGTGTTTATGTTTCAGGAAAACACACACATATACACAGGGTTTAATATGTATTCTGAGAAAAGAGTCTGGAAGCCTTTAACCTTTGCTATATTACTTCTTAACCTTTGACACAGTTAGTTTTACACCTCTACATACTGAAACACGGCCAGTCATACAATTATTCTAAACTTTGCTATGCTCTGGCAGTTTTGTAACATGTGTCCAAAACCTTGCAACTGTATATGCCATCTGATCTACCAATTCTACTTCTAGAAATTTATCTTTTAAAAAGAACTAGATGTCCAAATATCTAATTACAAGGATATTTATTACAGCATCAGAAGAAATCCAACCAATTGGGAATTGATAAGATTGATTTTGGTATATCCAGTCAATGGAATGCTATGCAGAGGTAAAGACTGATTATATTTGTGTATAAATATTAGCAAGGAAAATGTAAGTGAATAACATGCTTTATTGAAGGTCCCCATATTAAAGTATTTATGTAAAACACACACAGAAACACAGAATTTAATATATATTCAGAGAAAAGAATCTAGAAAGAAATAGACCAAACATTAGTCATAATTCTTTTGCTTGATAAAGGATTATAGGTGATTTTTATGTTATTTTCTTAGCTTATCTTTTTTTTATAAATAAGTAGTAAAGAATTAACAAATGTTATTACTTTTTAGACTTTTTTTTTTTTGAGTTGGAGTCTCACTCTGTCACCCAGGCTAGAGTGCAGTGGCATGCTCCCAGCCACCGCAGCCTTGACCTGCTGGGCTCAGATGATCCTTCTGCCTCAGTCTTCCAAGTAACTGGAACTACCGGTGCATGCTACTACGCCCAGCTAATTTTTTTTTATTTATTGTAGAGATGAGGTCTCACCATGTTGCCCAGGCTGATCTCGAATCCATGGGCTCAGGCAATACTCTCATCTCGGCCTCCCAAAAGTGCTGGGATTATAGGCTTGAGCCACCGTACCCAGCCAGACTTTTTTTTATTTTTGATTGTGGTCAAAAAACATATAACATGAAACTTAACATTTACTCATTTCTAAGGGTATAGTTCAATAGTATTAAGTATATTCACATTCTTGTGTAAATGTTATTACTTTTCACAATAAGAAGTAAAGACAGTTTTTCCTCTTAAAAATACCACACTTGGGGCACACTTCATCAATAAGCATACCTGGTCTCAAACCAGGTGAAACAGGGCCCAAAGTGAGGCCTAAACTTTACTTGTACAATGATCATTTGTATACCTTACCCTGAATTGTGCCCATCTTTAAAATAAAAAGAAAAGAAGAAATTAAAAAAAAATACCACACTCCCTGGTCCTGAAATTAGAAATTGCACACAAACGCGTGTACATACACACACACACACACACACACACACACACACACACACACCATTCTCAGTGCTTTGAAAAGGCAGTGTGACAGCCACAGGTGTTTACCCAGATGCAGGGACCTCTGTGCAGCATGCCCGTCATTCCCTGAGTAGCTAATGTAAAGAAATATTTCAGGTGGGCACTGGCCTTCCTGTTCACTCTTTGAGACTCTGGTCTACATCTGGGACTGTGACAGGCACTATAATCTTTCACAGTAGGTAGGTGAAATGCCAAAAAAGAACACTCCTCCACCACCCCACCCCAGTGAAAGTCTACTCTTATTATAAAAGAGTGCGGATTCCGTCTCCAGTGGCAGCATGAACTGCGAGTTGCACTGATAGGATGCCTTCTGTTTTCCAGATAATTGCTTATCAGCCCTATGGGAAATCCGTGGATTGGTGGGCATTTGGAGTCCTGCTTTATGAAATGTTGGCTGGGCAGGTAATTGAATTTTAAGTGATCTGTAAGAAAAGTCCTTCTCCAACCCTTTCCACATGATTCCTTTGGAAGAATGCATCTGCTTGGTAACACCTCATAAGTCCAAACCTCTATGACTTTCCCAGTCTTGGGGCTATCCAAGTCTGTAGCCATTTATTTTTTACATCTTCTCCTTGAAAGCCTTGGCGGACCCCATTGAGGGGGACTGCCAGTTTTGGGCAGCTTGGGGGAGGGTTTAGGCAGGGCTCCTTCTCCTCCCACCCTCCCCTGTCTCACAGGCACCCTTTGAAGGAGAGGATGAGGACGAACTCTTCCAGTCCATCATGGAGCACAATGTGGCATATCCCAAATCCATGTCCAAGGAGGCTGTGGCCATCTGCAAGGGGGTGAGTATGTCTCTTAAAGCTGTGGTCAGGACACTACATACAGGGGTGCAGGTTGTGTGCTGCACAGGGACACACCCTCATCAGGGGGGAACAGAGACTGAACTCCACTCCTTACTTCATTTGCCGGTGGGAGAGCCCTGGTGTGGAGCTGCTACCTTACACAGAAAACAGAACTTTTTTTCTAATCTGCACAAAACTGACCCAGAGGCCTACCTGCAATAGCATCTTGCTGCTGGCTGGGATCTAACCTCTGGCCCAGCACAGAGGAATGCTTATTGAATGAATGAAATAGGAGGCACAGAGACTCTCTGGAAGGAGCTGGAAGCTATGAGAAGGGGAACAAGAGGTCTCTGGCACAACGTTGGCTACCTTGTCCTGCTCTGCTGCATAGGCATTTAATTAACAGTAAGAGTGTGTAACTTTTGATCTAGGAAAAGAGCAGGCAGTATTGAGGTTAAGGGACCCTCTCGATAAGCAGACTCAAATTCAGTGTCCCCAAACCAACAAGCCCAAATGGCTAAAAGGGCATGCACATTTATATACCTGCAGCTTACGCAGATTGTACCTGTGAAATATGCAGGACGTGTGTTTACAGGTAAGGATTGCTTGTTATGCATCTTGTATTGGGCCAGGACATGCTCACTGTGACCTGTGTGAGACCCTTAGAGATCAGTGGTCCTCACTTTGGAACTGTCAGGATGACCTGAAATGCTTTACAGAAAGCACATACCTCAGCCTCACCCCAGAGATTAAGTTTGGGCATCAGTATTTTGAATAAGGTCCCCCATATGGCTCGAAAACCACTGCCTATAAACATCTTGTCCCAATGAAGATGAAAGCAAAGTTCAGAGACTTCCAGAGAGTATGGTTCAAGGATGATGCCTTTATAAATTATTCGCTCTTCTACCAACTAGTGGTACAGGTTAGAACATGGTGATGCCTCAACAGTGGGCTTCTGCCTATGTATTTGAATAAACCAGGGCTGCCGGTCCTAGATGCTTGCAGATTTTCCATGCTCTACTCTGCCCTGCTCTTCCTGACCCCAGGCAGATGCCACATGAACTGCCTTGGCTGAAGGAAAGTTATGAAACTCAGGCCAGTCTGAGGCGTGGCCACATTTGGAATAGCTTGGGTCAACTTTTCAGCCTAAAATACCTCAATTCCCGCTTTCAGTGAATCACCTAACTTTGTGTCTCAGCTACAGCTACTTAGATTAAGATGCAAATATTCTTGGGGAGATCACATGGGAGTTAGTCTCAGTCCCTAACATCTTAAGTGAATTGCGTGAAAATGTTTTCTTGAGGGCATGAGGAAGCAGAGGAAAAATAAGGAAGAGAGAGTGGAGACCCAGCAGTTTATTAGGAGCTTAAGTAAAACCCACAGGGGGAAAAATAGAGGGCACAGACTAAGGTCCATGCAGACCCTTGTAGACATTTTATTGAAGGGAGAGGGAAGTAGGGAGAGGAGGTCATACACTGAGTTTTAGTTTGTTTAATAATTGCCAATATGTAAAGATCAGGAGATTTCTCATAAGGATTCGGCTTTCCAATTTCTTTTGAAAAATCAGATCTTGCTATGTTGGCCTGTCATTCCTGCCAACTATCAGTTAGCTGGATTGGAAACCACTGCCCTCTGTAAATAGGGTGTACTTCTCTATATGGCCCAGGTCCATCTGGGTTCAAATCCCCAGGCATTATTATTTGAGTTCTATGACCCCGTGGAAGTTGTTTGACCTGATCTGCAAATTGGGGACAATAATAGCACTCTACATTGGGTTCTTTGATGATTCAATGAGTGAATACCGGTAAGTTACTTAGAACAGAGCCCAGCATTCCAGACCCTTGGATGTTATTATTACTGTTACTAACAATGATATTACTGTTACATGCCAGTTCCTCCTGGCATTTGAGTTTGTATCCCCTGGTGTGGGAACGTTTAAAGTAGGGGTTTGTGGAGACCAAGAGACCCTTTGCAAATCTTGATCCTTCCACTTCTGAGGTGCATGGTTTTAAGCAAGCTCTTTTGCACTCCCAGCTTCTGATTTTTTATTTTAAAAAATGGAATTATAGTACTTACCAAACAGGCATTTTTGAGAGCATGAAATGAGACAGCGTAAGAGAAAGCTCCTTGCATGGTATGGGCACATAGTAGGTGTTCAATACAGGCACAGGGTCTTCCCCTTCACAAGCCTGCCCTGCCTGGACAGCTGGGGGTTCTAAGTGGGTCATGGAGGAGAGAGGATTTTCCAGGTCAGCTGCCTTTAGCTTCAGCTCCAATTAGCAGTTTCCCTGATAGAGCAGTTTCCTATTAATTCAGGACCCATAACCTTCAGGATTAACTGGGGTGACTTTCATAGTATTGGGTTTGGGGACCTTTTTGAGCTGAGTAGGCTGAGTCCAATGTGGGCTCTTCCTTCAAGGATGATGTTTCAAAGAAGGGTGATGCTCAAGCGAACAGTCAAATATTTCCTCCTAACCGTGGGCCCCAGGGGATGCGTCTGGGAGGTGATCAGAGATTGGAACAGTGATTAAATCCAGCTGTCTAGATGGCTTCAGGCACCGCAGAGCAAAGTGCGGGAACTGGGCAGAGACTCCGAATTAGTGCTGGATGTTTCTGCAGTGGCTTGGCTTGGCTTGGCTTGGCTTGGCTTGGCTTCCTCCTGCTTAGACAGAAACTGAGCTAGGCTTTTGAAAACAATTGCCTGTTCAATTGAAGAAGTGCCCTTTTTATGGCCATCCCCTTAAAGGCCATATTTTCCACCATAAAAAATTAGTAAAACCTTACTCAGATTGCCATTCCCACTTTGAACAAGCTTGAAGCAGACAGAAGTCCACAGATTGGCCACACGTTAAAGTGAAAACCAGCAAAGACTGAGTAGCACAACACTATAAAAGCTCTGGTCAGGCAGATCTGTTCACAGCCCGGCTCTGCTCCTTAGCTGTGTGACCTTAGACAAATTACTTTACTTCTCTGAACCAGATACTTTCTCTGAAAAATGGGGATATTAGTTGCTGAGACCTCAGGGTGCTGTTGTAAACATTAAAGAGTAATGGGTAAGGGACGGGAAGCCTTTAGCACAGAGCCAGTACACATATCATGTTCTCAGTGTTCAGTACACAGAAGACATTATTGATATTATTATCAGTACTAGCCAAGACCTCATCACCCATTCCTTCCTCTCATCTTGAGTCTACATAAATATCAAGGCTTGGCTCAATTTGCTCGCCCTCCATGAACCTTTCCTGACCAAGCCAGGCCACAATATCCCTGGGAAAACCACTTGCGACGTTGTCCCCCATGTCTCTTAAAAGCCTGAGTTTTGGAGCAAACAGGTGGGTTCTATTGCCAACTCTTGCTGTCTCTGCCACTTTCTGTCTCTGCAAGTCCTTGTAATTGCTTAAGCTCTCTGAGTGTCCATTGCCTTTTCATTCAAATGGAGAAAACAGCATACCCATTTCATTGAGTTATTAAATAAAGAAGTAGCTTAGAACCTAAGCACCCAGTTATTTTACTCCCGGAAACTAAAGCACATATGGCAAGTATGTAGTTGTGTGTGGTCACAAATGATCACATAAGCAGGAAACAGGCTAAGCTGAATGTCCAACACTGTAGGTGTGTGAATTTGGGGGTTTATCCTTTCCCCATAATTGGCACGTCCTGGGCAAAATCTAAGGGTTCTGACATCATATGCTGCTTGATGTCACAGAAACTCTGGGAAGCTTTTGGACTTGTATTTTTTTTTTCCTCTCTATCACCAACTCCTCCATCTTTACTCTCTGTGCATTTGCTGAAGTCTTGAGATCAGAGATATTTTCATGCTGCTTTGGATTTATTTACAAGAGGAAGTCTGTCTGGATTCATCTCAGAGCATCTATTCATCTTGTTATTTAGCACCGGCTCAGAGACCCAAAGATGGAGGGTTTTGATAATTAAGTAATTTAAACAGAACACCTAAGAAACCTCAGCAGAGTTACATGTAATATGTGATACCAGGGAAATGAGCTGGGCTAGGTTTTGACTACTTAATGAGCTTTCACAAAGTAATTACTTGAAACTTGGGTCCATTTGACTAATATTTTTTCTTCTGTTTTGTCATTTTTGCAAGTGCTTTACTGAGAAATGCAAATACTATCTGAGTTTGCCTTTGTCAAACTCCAGTTTTCTTGTGGTAAAAGAAGGGGAGTTTGAAGATATTGAAACTGTTCTCATTAAATACACCAGTAATTACATAAAACTCATTTTTGAACCAAATGGGTTGTGTGGCATTTCTAACTTGAAGTTCAGGGCCACATTCAGGCTTTGATTTGATTAAACAGCAGGCACTGTTGTCAGAGTCTCGGCTAAAAGTCCTGGCTGAGATTTATTGCTGGGATAAAAAGCAAAAAAAACCCCACAAAAACTGAGTTGAGATTCCTTGTTGTGCTTTCTTTCCTCATTCATTGGAATGATAATTTCTGACAGTCTCACATTTCCTATTCTGAAACTCATTGAATTCAATGTTTTTCCTTTTCTTAAAGCTGATGACCAAACACCCGGGCAAACGTCTGGGCTGTGGGCCTGAGGGTGAACGTGATATCAAAGAGCACGCATTTTTCCGGTACATTGATTGGGAGAAACTTGAACGCAAAGAGATTCAGCCCCCGTATAAGCCAAAAGCTGTAAGTAAACTGTTCTCTCTGACTGTTGAGTACGCATATACAACGTGTTCTTTCCTTGCCCACTGTGTGTGCTTTGAATGCTCTACTGAGGGTTAGTTGTCAGTGTGTCAACTTGAATATGTCTGTGTGTGCTCACATTTGTGTACCAAGTCAGTGGGTACAAAAACCAGAGATTTCCATTCACACAGCCCGGGCCTCTCTAAATATGGGAAAGGCAATTGATATTGAGCTTTTATCAATTCAATTATTGTAACTGTCTTAGCTGACAAATTTTTGGGAATGGTTCTTCAGTGAGCAGAGTTCAGCTCCATTTTTGGACTGTGATAAAGAATCTAATTTTGCCCTCGTTCTTTCCTTGGTTCAACTGTGTCATTTTCTCTTCATACTGACATTGAAAAGGTCATGTTGTTTATCTCAACAGTATTTAAATTTAATTTGGAAACATATACTATGTCTGACTCAGTAAATAAGAACAGTTCACCAGTCAGCTCCCACCCAAGGCGAAAACAGAATGAAGTTGAAGCTGACATGCTCTTGAACCATAGGCCACATGTAGATATGGCTATGAGATGACTTCTATAAACAAGAATAAAAGTCTCATATTCCCTGTGTCCATGGGAGGGTTTTTTATCCCCAAAATTTCAGGAGGGAGTACTTGTAAGCATCAAGGAAGAGGAGTTTGCACCTGAATTAATCAAAACAGATTCTGCTGGGAGGATATTTCTTTGTTAAATTAAATAGAGGGCAGACCTGGTGACTATTATGGACTGTAAAACTACCGACTGAGGCTGAGAAGTACACATAAACATTATCACTGAAACCTAATGTTGTAAGGGTCTCAGTGTTAAGATGTAGATGATAATGGTAGTTATTTTGATGCTAGCATTGTAACTGATTTCTTGAGCACTTATGTGCTTGGCACTGTATTATGTACTTCCTAGGTAGCATCTAATTAAATCCTCCTAACAGCTGGTGAATGTAGGTTCTATTATTTCATGTCATAGAAGAGGAAATGGAGGCTCAGAGAGGTTAAGTGCTCTGCCCAAGGTCACTCAGCCAGCATGTGATCAAGTGAGGATCCAAAGCTTAGATAGTCTGACTATTGGAGGCCCACGAGAATGCCTGGGCCAAAGGGCATATAGTTAAGAAAGTCTCCCAGGTGAATCTCCCATCTCCCTAGAGCTGCACCGTCCCCTTACCTCAGGTGGTTAGAATCACAAGTCTACCCATCCTTGATGAGTCCTGTTTCTCTCTGGATGTCTCCTGGTCTTAAGTAACCATGTTCAGCCGGTTGCGGTGGCTCAAGCCTGTAATCCCAGCACTTTGGGAGGCCGAGGTAAAGGGATTGCCTGAGCTAACTCATTCAAGAACAGCCTGGGCATCTTGGTGAGACCTCATCTCTATTAAAAAAAAAATAAAATTAGCTGGGCGTGGTAGCACGTGCCTATAGTTCCGGCTACTTGGAAGGCTGAGGGGGAAGGATCTCCTGAGGTCAGTAGGTCGACGCTAGGGTGGCCGTGAGCGTGCCCCTGCATTCCAGCCTGGACAAAGGAATGAGACTCCAACTCAAAAAAAAAAAAAAGAAGCAGCCATGTTCATTAGAGGCAGCTGGTTCCACTTTGTGGCCCTTCTCAATGCTACAAGCTAATATGCTGACATCAAATCAACCTCCCCAGAACAGCTGCTAGAGCCTCACTCTGCAGGGCATCCACCAGACATTTGCAGATACTGGCCTGTACCTTTTGATTTCCAGATTAAATTCCACCCTGCTTCCTCCTGCAAGCATGTCTCATATGACATCACTTCCAGGTACCTTCTGTTCCCCAGGGCATCCACATCCATCTTCAAATATAGACAAAGCTGGGTGTGGTAGCTCACGCCTATAATCCCAGCACTTTAGGAGGCCAAGGTAGGAGGATTGCTTGAGCCCAGGAATTGAGACCAGCCTAGGCAACATAGCAATACCTTATCTCTATAAAAAATAAAAAATTAGCTAGGTGTGGTGACACATGCCTGTAGTCTCAGCTACTTGGGAGTTCGAGATGAAAGGATCACCAGAGCCCAGGAGGTCAAGGCTGTGATGAGCCATAATTGTGCTACTGCACTCTAGTCTGGATGACAGAGTGAGACCCTGATTCAAAAAAAAAAAATACACAGGATTGAGCAGTGAGGGTCAGTGTCTGACCCTCAGTGGATACAGTGAGTCAAACCATCTCTTGGTGAACCATCTCTAGGGCTGGTGACCTTGGACTAGTTTCCCTCTCTGATCCACTGTTTCATCATCTGTAATAACAGCGATGATAATAGTTTTGCCATCAGAGGATTGTTGTGATGCATAAAGCATTCAGTACATGCCTGGTATGTAATAGGCACTCAGGGAGAGTGCATCATTATTTTTGTTAGCAATGTCATACATTAATTAATGTCTAGGGCACAGGGTCTTTGAGAAGCAGAAGAATGTTGAGTTCTGCTGATGCTGTTCCTTAAGATAATGTTTGTATGTGCACTCGGGGTTGAAGAGGTCCTGCATGTCACAGGCAGTATCATCACTTTTATTGATCCATTTGGAAAAAACTCAAAAGCTAACCTGGAAGAGAAGAGTGTGCTCTTCGTTCAGGAAACTGGGAACTCAGAGGTGGGACTCATAACTCATTTGGTTTTAGGGGGGCTATTTATGATGTCACAGAATGTGGACCCCCCTTCCTCATTTGACCAGAGGAAAGATGCAAATCCTCCCTTCCCCATCAGCATGGAACCCAGTAGACATTTGGGGTTCCTTCTAGAGTTGTAGAGCAGTGGTTTTCAAAGTGTGATCCCTGGGCCAGCAATAGCAACATCACCTGGGAACTTTAGGAATGAAGTTCTTAGGGGCCCCACACCAGACCTCCTGAGTAAAAATCCCTGGGGGTGGAGCCCAGCGTTCCATGTTTAACAAGCTCTCCAGGTGACTTGAAGTACTCTTGAGGTTGAGAATCACTGCTGTGTTTAGCATTAAGAGCTCAGGCAGAAGGGGTGTGGTGGCTCATGACTATAATCCCAGCACTTTGGGATGCCAAGATGAGAGGATTGCCTGACTAGCCTGGGCAACTTGGTGAGGCCTCATCTCTACAATACATCAAAAAAAAATTAGCCGGGCGTGGTGGCACATGCCTGTGGTTACAGTTACTTGGAAGGCTGAGGTGGAAGGATTGCCTGAGCCCAGCAGATGGAGGCTGCAGTGGCCATGAGCGTGTCACTGCCCTCCAGCCTGGGCAACAGAGTGAGACTCTGACTCAAGGAAAAAAAAAAAAAGCTCAGGCAGGGAAGATAGAGGCCAGAGGAGGTAGCAGAGAGAATCAACTCTTTAAGTGGAAGATGCTTGTCCTCTTTTCAGTCAGGGCATGAAATGGTGTCTTCCAGAAGAGGTCACAGACTCAGATGCCTAACGAGGCCAGGCAGGTGATATGAATGAGGAAAGAGGACTAGTTAGATGGAAGAGAGTGATGGGGATGGATGCAAACTGGAGAGCAGGTGCCAGGTTAACTGGCTCAGCTAGTGCTTACCTCGTGCTCACCTCCAGGTAGCCTGCCCTGTAGGATGCAGACTCCACAGGGCTCCATCTTCATGGTTTCATGAGAAATCAGGATTTTTAGATAAAATCTCACCTTTTTAAATACATCAGCAACAAATTTTTAAAAAATTAAATGAAGTTCAGGGCAAATAAAACACATCCATGACCCATATTTGTCCCATGAACTGTCAGTTTGTAACCTCTGGAGTAGTGATGACTCAAAGTGAGGTTGACATTTAGCCAGTTCCTGTTCGTACTGATTATTTACAACCAGAGTATATTCTGACTGGTTAAAAAGTTTGAATATCCTGACAAGCAGTAATGAGTATAAGAGGTCTATCCCAGTTCCTGGCTCATAGAAAGCACTCAGAAAAGGTAGCTGTTGTTATCATTGATAATATAACATGATTACAATAATAAGTAATTATTGGCCAGGCACAGTGACTCACGCCTGTAATCCTAGCATTTTGGGAGGCTGAGGCAGGGGGATCGCTTAAACCCAGAAGTTTAAGACCAGCCTGGGCAACACAGCAAGACCTCGTCTCTACAAAAAAATGAAAAAGAAACAAGCCAGGCCTGGGGGCACACACCTATAGTCCCAGCTACTCAGGAGGCTGAGGTGGGAGGATCACCTGAACCCAGGAGGTGGAGACTGTGGTGACCTGTGATAGTGCCACTGCACTCCAGCCTGGGCAACAATGTCATCCCATATCAATAACAACAACAACAAAACCAACAAATAGTAATCACCAACAAGATCCTTCAACTGTTCTGTATTTGATAAGATTTCCTGCTGGCCGATATCTTGAATTCCCTCATGTGGGTTTAACAGTGACTTTCACAGTACAAAGACTAGACTGGACCATATACTTCAAAATGTTCTGCCACCAACTCTAAGGGGAAGTAGACCCTGCCCTTGATCTCCTCAGATTGAATTAGAAATAACAGTAAATGATACACCCATTTGATTCATCCTGACTTTTACATTGCAGATACAGGCCTTAGAGCCCCCGCCTCCTCCCAGGATTTTACATATCTCCTCCCTCCCCCGCTTATCTGCCTGCCCCTCCGGAAAGGCCCATGGTGAGCATGTGCAAAGCTCCTGGTGCCCTGTGGGATGTGAAAAGGCATGCATGTATCCGTCAATGTTCCTGATTCATGCATGCTATTAAATAGAGTGTGGCGAGAGAAAAACAAGGAGCAATAATAGGATTATATTGAAACATCAGTGAAGGGTGCTATTATTGGAGGTTCATTAAAATAACTTTAAATGGGTTTTCTAAGTTGTTCTCAGTGCCATCTTTTATTGTGGCAAGGAGCTATTCACAGAGTATTGTTTGAAATTGAACTGAAATACACTAGCTTTGGTGTATTGTTGCAAGGTACAAGAGTAATTTTTAAAATTTACGTCCGGTTGTGTCACTCTCTTACCTAAAATTCCCCAGCTGGC